GCTCCACCAGTCCTCCGTAACCTTCCTTGGTCTCAACTTAGAGGGTGGACGAGTCAGATCTGACCCAGACAAGATTAAGGCGGTCCTTGACTTGGCCATACCTGAGATTCGGAAGCAGCTTCAGCATTTTATTGGCTTCACAAACTTCTATAGCCGTTTTATCAGGGGCTACAGTCAAATAGCCCTCTACATGCCCTCACCTCAACAAAGGTCCCGTTCATTTGGAACCCTGATACTAACTCCGCATTCGAAAAATTAAAGGAGAAGTTCCCCCAATCCTCATGCAGACCAATCCTCTTAAACAATTCACTCTCGAGATAGACGCCTCTTACACTGGGATAGGTGCTGTTCTCTCCCAACAGTCCGACACCGACCGTGAGCTCCACCCCAGCGCTTTTTTCTGTCGTCGACTGACCCCCTCTGAAAGTAATTATGACGTGGGCAATATAGAGTTATTAGCAATTAAACTGGCCCTGGAAGAGTGGCGCCACTGGCTTGAAGGGTCTGAGCAGCCTATTATAGGATGGATGGATCATAAGAACCTGGCCTACCTCCAGGCAGCCAAACGACTCAATCCCCAGCAAGCACCATGGTCTCTGTTCTTCTCCCGCTTCAACCTGTCGATTTCCTAACGCCCGGACTCCAAGAACCTTAAGCCTGATGCTCTTTCTCGCCTCAATGCCCCACAAGACACAGATCCAGAACCACTCCCTATCCTTCCATCCACCTGCACATTTGGCGCCCTCCGTTGGCAGATAGAGGATCTAATCTCCCGGGCTCTACGGGATGATCCGGATCCGGGAACTGGACCCCTAACCAACTCTATGTCCACAAGACCAACGCTACCGAGTTATTGACTGGAGCCATTCAAACAAGCTCTCAGCTCAACCTGGCTTCCACCGGATCCGGTTACATTTCCCGCTGCTTCTGGTCCGGGAGTATGTACTCGCCTGTCCAGTCTGCGCCCAAAAGAAATCATCCTACCGGCCCCCTGCTGGTTTACTTCAACCACTTCCTTTTCCAAGACGCCCATGGTCTCATGTGGCCCTAGATTTTGTGACTGGTTTGCATCCTTCCCAGGGAATGACGACCATCCTAACCATCGTTGACCGATTCTCCAAGGCCTGTCACCTCGTTGTGCTCCGTAGACTCCCCACTGCCCTCCAGACCGCTCAGCTCCTGATTAAGCATGTTTTCCGCTTGTACAGCCTCCCCCAGGATATTTTATCAGACACAGGGCCTCACTTCACGTCTCGGGTCTGGAAGGACCTCTGCCCTTGGTGCCAGGTATAGTCTTTCTTCTGGTTATCATCACTAAACTAATGGTCAGACTGAGCGGCTAAATCAGGAACTCGAAGCAACCCTCCATTGTCTCACTTCCTCCAATCCGTCAGATGAGAGACAGATCTTAGTCCCGTCCTTTGAGAACCATGTTCTGGACCCTCGGCTGGAGACCCTGTCAAGTCCCTCTGATTCCATCAGCTGCGCCCAGATTCCTCCTCGGCCGCTGCTGCTCAGGCCCCTCCTCACGGACTTCTATAACCTGCCCATCTGTCACTCAGTCACCAGCCAACATCTCGGGAAGTTCCCCACTGAGTCCGTCTCTCCACTCCCCCCAGCCCGGTTCCTTCATCCGGTGGTAGATTTAATTAACGTTTCCTCTCACTCATCCTCCCGATCTCCGTGTCTACTTTTGTTCTCACGCAGATCGATCAAGTCCTGCCTGCGCTGACAATCCATCTGCACCACCGGACCACAATTTCCAGTGTTCATGTTCTTTGCTGTTTGTTACATAAACGTCTGAAACTGCTCTTGCCTTCTGTGTTAGTTCTGCGTGTGGGTCAAACACCTTAAAAACCATGACAGTACCCCACAGATTGTTAATTGGCTACCCCTGGTTTAATGTTTATAAATGTTTATTTCACGTTATGTGCACCATCCA